CTTTTGGATCAGAAAAGATCAACTGTGATACAACTCGTGTTGTTCCTTGCGAGACTGCATTTTAGCGAGGGTTTGTCAGTGATTCGAACTCTTGGTTAGGCAAGTTATTCTTGTTTCATTTGGTGCAGTCTGAAAAACCCACTCTGCTGTCTTTTCCGTCAGCTTCCCAGTGGGAAGAACAGGCCTGAAAACAGCCTCTATTTATACCCCCTTGTTCGTATTTGGAAAATCAGTTGTTTCACTGCAGAGGGGGAGAAAGAGAGGCGAGCACAAGCAGTTGTCAGGGAGTGTGCCTTCTACGTTATCGTGACTTCAAAATAAAACTGGCACATTTTAGTGTCTAATTATTTTTAGTGAGCTTAGAGGGTTTTAATTAAAATTTAAGAGTGCTCTTCAAGCTCTCCAAGCTCCAATTTTATCCCACTGTATTCTGAAGCACTTATCACTGTGGAAAATGTACAGTAACTGCCTGTGCATCTCTGTTTCCTAATAAAAAAATGTGGGATGGGATGATCAGCAAGGGTATAAATATATATTGTTAGATTACTTGTAAACCAAGGTCAAGGGTACTTTTGACAAGTTATTGTTCTTGGATGCAGAGAAAAGTAATTGCATTTGAAATGTGTAATTCCTATGGTAAAAATAAGTGAATTGTTTCAATATTTTCTTAAAGGAGTTAAGAAAGCCGTAGGAAATCTGCACAGAGGAGCAGCAGTCTCACTAAAATACTTTAAAGACATTTTCTATATCATGTTTCTAATGGCCTAGCATTTCTAAATTTAAACATTATGACTTTGAGGTAAGAGGAATAAGTGGTTACTTACAGGTCAATTGTCTTAAAGTACAATAATTTTTTCCATTTAATTTTTTTTTCTATTCCCCCATGCTTTAGTTTTAGTGATGATTTAAAAAAAAAAAAGTATTCTTTTTGACCCACTTGAAATATCTTTATTTTGTACAGAATAAGTGTTAATATGGCCTTGACTTTGTTTACTAGAAATGATTTTAAATTGTTTTTAAAACACTGCTACACAGATTAGAAAACAAATATCCCACATACTCTCCCTTTGAATTTCTCTTGTACTGTAAAATTAATTATTAGCATGAAAACCACTCTTGACTCATATGGACTGAAACCTAGTTGCTTAGGAAGCAGAAACATTGCTTTGCAGTCATAATGCAAGATATTTATTAAAAATTAGTTCTGAATTGCCTTTCCTGTTCTCTAGGAAAAGTTTCTTTAAAAACTTAAATTTGCAAAAAAGAAAAAAACAAAACAAAACAAAAACTATGCAACTGAAAATTAATTTATAATGTATCAAAACCTTTTACACCTCTGATTTTAATATAAGGGAAAACCCAGGTCCAGCTTGATTTTCCATAGTCCTTTTAAAATACATTATTTACAAAAATGAGATAAAAATAATAAAATTTTGTATTTTATTGACTATGTGTTGGTTTTAGAGGCTAATTCTTTCAAAGTAAGAGTAATTAAATTTGATATGTTCCATTTTTTTTACCAAAGTATGTAGCTTACATTCATTTTTAGTATGTACATATTATGGTGACTTTTTAAAATACCACAATGTTATAGTTCTTTATCTCAATTTCTAAAAAGTATGTAGCTCCTTTCCTGTGTCTTAGTTAAAGACAACTCAGTCAAAATACTAAAATTTGAATAGTCAAAGTCAGATCATGAAATAAGCTGCATATTGTCTTACTGATTTGAGGACTATGGCACCACTCTACATTTTTTTTTTTTTTTAGCTGCTTTCAATTCAATCATGTAAAGCACATTTAACTGAATAAATAATCCAAGAATATCCTGGTGGTGTTCAGTACCTTTCTGCCATTTGGGATCCTGCCTGACTGGTGAGCTACAGCCACTCTGAATGCTCCTTCCTATTCTTTCCTTAGGATGCAAACTGGAGTTCTTTATGTATTTGACCTCTTAGGATTTTGCATCTGTACTTGGGGCAAAGTCTGATCTGACCAACTGCCTCTGTAAAGCTGGTGTCCTATTAATGTGGTGAAGCATGTAGTACAAGGAGATGAATGCTTACTTTTAATTTCCACCCTTACCTGGATACTGTTTTGAGTGGGGAATCTTAAATTTTAAAAATATACAATATATAAAAATTAAAATATAAATGTTTATGTATATGTTTATTACACATTTCCTCATTTCAAGTCAGAAACCTCTTGGTAGTGATAATCCTCTGCTTAGGTAGTATTTGTTAACAACCTGAATCTTTTGGCCCTTCTGTTCTCTCCTCTCTGGCTTTCCATTACACTGTAGCAAAATTACAGTTATGAAGTAGCAACGAAAAATAATTTTATGGTTGGGGGTCACCACAACATGAGGAACTGTATTCAAGGGTTGCAGCATTAGAAAGGTTGAGAACCACTGCATTACAGTAGGAGTGAGTGAGCTTAGTACTAATTGTGGGATGCTCTTAGAAGTTTGGTAATCAGATAATTAGGTGAGAAACTGGGAGTTTGTCAAGAGATTCTTCAGTGTTTTGAATCTCTCTAGAATCTCTGTGCATTGAGATTAAATGATGATAAGGTTGTATTTAGTGAGTTGTATGTCCTGTCCTATAGATAAAGGCCATCAGTGGTTGTTATTACATATTTGCATGAGCTATAATAGAGATATGCAAAGGCTGCTTTATGTCCCCCCTCAGCTTCTTCTACTGAAATAGGAACTCATATAGCTGGATTGATTTAGCATTATGGTGAGGATTAATTTTTCCAATAGGAATGTGAAATGCTTTGAAGTTATTAATTTTATTATAGCTTTTATTGAAAGCTGTGTCCCTATGGTTTGATTTATGTGTGTTCTTGTTGTCCATATAGTTCTATTTTTCCCCCATGGAGTTGAAGCATTCTTTTCCTGGAGCTCAGAAAGATTTCAGGTCTATTTATAGAAATGAGAGACATATTTTTATGTTTTACATTTATTGTGTTTCTAACCCTAGTTTATAAACTTGCTGTGAGTTTGTGATCATTACTAGAAAATTGGGCTTTTGTCTTTTATGATTACAATATATGCTCTCAACTCAAATTTTAACCAAACAAGTTATGTTTTAGCATTTGTATCAGTGATTAGCAGTTTAGTGTGATGTTATAACATGTATGAAAGGGCAATAAAAAAGTAACAAAACTGGGTAGGATAGAGAGTTGAAGATGTTGTGTTGATTATTCTTACCCATGTTCTGATGGTATATCAATATATCGCAGATTTTAAACCCTATTTGCAAAGTGTAATAGGCATGGCTTTGAAGATTGGCTTCATAATTTTCAAGACTCAGTGTTATCTTTTTTTATGACTTCAGTAAAAATACCAAAAAAAGAAAAAAATGTATAGACCAAAGTACACATCTTGTTTCTGAATTTAAAATAAATGTAGCAAGAGGTCATTTGGAAATTAAAGAGAGACTGCATATATGAGTATGCATGTAAACCCTGTTGGAAGGTCACTCAGAATCCAGTTTTTAATCACAGTGGTAGGTCAATCGTTGGAGCCTAAGAAAACTTGAATAGGAAAGAATGGGAAGAGAAAAGGAGGGAAGAGAAGAGGGGAAGAAGCAAAGGAAGGGGCAGGGAGCTTACTCTTAATAGAATCAAGCTGGCTCCTATTTAGAACTTCAGCTTCCTTGATAGCGAGCTAGTTCGGTTGTTCTTCATCAGCCATTTCAGGATGCACTGATCTGGATTCCATCCATTCCTTGATTGATTGATCATGTCATGGACGAATGTTAATTGTTTTCACCAATACTTTCTAATCGTGCAGCAGTCTTCCCATCTCTAACCCCAGGCTTGCTGTCTTTTTCTAAAGCTTATCTAGTTTCTAAAACCCTTTAGATCCGTCTTGACCTTACTGTCATTCTGAAAAATTCAAGGAGGATTTAGAAGTTGGAAGGAAAAAAAAAAAGAAAAAAAAAAAGAAAGGCAAAAATGATAAAGAGAAAGGTACTGATAAGGAGAGGAGAATCGTTTGGATACAGAATAACAATTTAAATATAATTTAAAAAGAAGTTATCAGAATTTGACACTTGGAATGTTAAAGTTTAATGGGATTATGCTTCACACCAAGGGTTTAGTATTTAAGTCTGCATTCTCTTTTGGAAATAGGTCCTATTTGTTAAGATCTGAGGCTCAAAAGATACATGTAAATAGTTGTAAGCAGTAGCTTCAGTTGCAGATCCATCTGAATACAGAGGTAAAAGAATGCATTGAGGAAAATGTGCTAATTATTAAGAGTATCCTGGTTTAAGTTTCTGTAACCTTTATGAATCTTTATAGAAACAAGTGTAATCATTCTCTGTAATCTTGTGTGCTACTCAGAAATGCAGCAGGCAACATGTTTAAAGAAGTATTTTCTTGAAGAGAATATACATCTCTTTTATACAAGAGAACTGCAGTAGTAGTTTTCATGATCTTGACTTTAGTTTCTTTACATTTTGCTATAAATGGGTTTTTTAAGAATGAGATTTGCTATATTTTTTGTTTTTAAGAATATGTGATTACAGGTTGATTGATCTTTACTCCCTTGAAAAATTGTCATTCTTCCTTGAATAGCACATGGATTTTGCTTGAAATTAAAACATAATCACCTGGATTGAGAGGAATATTGTTTAAATTTAAAACTGTAGAAAGACCCCATTCTCTGTCCTATCAGTCTAAGAAATGCTGAATGCTGACTGAATATTTACAGAATTATAATTATAATACCAATACAAGTTTATTGAGCCTTATATTTTTTCTTGGGAATAGTTTAAATAATCTGGTAAAAAATTAGTTGTGTTATTTTATAATACAGTAATATAATTGTTTATATCCTAAGGTTAAAACAACAACAACAAAAAATAGCTTTGATCTTTTTTAAGTGATAGAGTTTCTTCATAAACTAGCTTTCTGGATTTATAATCTTTTAATACTTATAAAATAAAAAATATATGTAATATTTTGAATACTTACCTTTTTTATTTTAACAGATTCCTCCTGCATGGAAAAACTACTATCAAAAGATTGGAAGGAAAAAATGGAAAGACTAAATACCAGTGACCTTCTTGGAGAAATTAAAGGTACAATATATAAAATATCAAATAAACCCATGTGGAGATGTTATTTTTTATAACAATACATTTGCTGATTTTCTGTACCCTAACATTAATTTCTTACTTCTAATATTTGTTGATTTATGAGAGGTAAATGTATAGTATGTCCTTGAACTTATATTCTTTTTAATGTTTACAGAATGAAATTTTTGGCCTCTCTTTTTATTATTCTATAACATATATATGATAGGATAAATTGTTTTTAATTTACTTAATTAAAAAGTATTAACATAAAATGTTATATCAAAGATGATGAACAAATTAAATTAAATTAAATACAATTTTAGTCTTTTCTCTTAAGTCCTAATATAATAGCTTTATTTATGAATCCAAATCAATAATTTGAATTTTTTTATTGAAAAGGGTCAACTGTAGCACCTATAAAGAAAAGTTTATAGAATGTGCTATACATAATGGTTTATGGGTAGATTCTGAGGTCTGTTTACTGGTTCAAATCCTGGCCCTGCCATTTACTAGATAGTTGACTTTGGACAAGTCACTATCTTCTCTGTTTCGAATTCCTGGGAACTAAAATGGGGCTAATAACAGAACCTACCTCACAGGCTCCTTAAGAGAATTAATACATGTAAAGCTTTCAGCATTGCACCTGGCAATTAAGGAAGGACTCATGAAAGTTTTAGTCATTGTTATTATTAATATGCCCAAATGTTGATGCGTTTATTAATCTTAAAACAGATTTCACAGGATTTAAAATTTCATAACCTCTTACCCTGTTGATGATGATGGATATCTTAATTTTTAAAGTTATGTGATTGATGTTATTACATGTTAAGAAGTGGACAATCCCAATCAATACATCACAGAATAACCTAACTCTCTCGTTGATTTCTTTAAGGAAATGAAGTACTGTATTATTAATTTTTGCTATCATGAGTAGAATCCTAAGTCATTAATTAATTCTGTAAGTTGCTCCTTACAGACTGGCATCACTGTCATTTGCACTAACAATTTGGGAAGTTTATTAGATTAGGTTTCTGAATTTACCCAGCAGCATCCAGGTGAGTCTTCCTATTGGTCATGGATAATAAATACCTCATTTAAGATGAATATTTGGCAATAGCTATCTGATGAAAATTTTATTTTGACTTTAGTATAGAAAATTGCCTAGGGTTCAGACATCTTATGTTCTCCAATGAAGAGAAAAGGAAGTCATCTCCCAATGAATAATTAACAACTCATTCCATTATCTCATGCAGTATCAAAACCAAGTAGAAATTTAATAGTATTTTGAATTTCACTGCTTCTGTTTTTTACTTATGAAGGCCACTTACTATTTTGGAAACAAGCCCTCACCGTATAACTGAGGGGTAGAAAGAGAGTCATTAGTGCCATATTCTTTATCCAGCTGCAATAGCATGGTCTGTGCTACTTTGCACGCCATTCTGTGTTTTCTTCCCTTCCCAAAGTCATTGGTTTTATAACAGTGAGAACGGAAATGGTTTATGCAAAGTCAAGCATTTGCCAGCATGAAGGATGGAGGTCTTGCTTTCTCTCAGTCATATGGAAGCTAACATTTTATTATGTTATGATTAAGCATCGTGTTTATACACATCGGGTTATCTTTTCTCCCCTGCTCCCACTTCCCATCTTACTTTATTTTTAATTCTAATTATGAATTTAAAATATATAATAATTATACTAGTCTCAGATGTTCCAAATACATAAATCTTGAAAGTGAAACACATTTGAAAAAGTAGGCTTCTCAAATTCTTGAACATTTTTCTTTCTGGATTCTATAGGAGGCAAGTGAACTGTCATTTGTGTGCTACTCTTAGTTTTATGGGCATAGAAAATAAGATTCTTATTAAATTTTTCATTTTGATTTAGTCTACTTAATGGTCTCTTCTTACATCCTCATATTTTGTCACCATAAAATTATACAGAAAATATAACAATGTATAATAAAAATGAAAAAATTAAAGTAGTGTTCATAGACTAATCCTAATCACTGCTACAACTCAACGTACAGTTTTAGTCTAGGTGAGATCAGGTCAGTTATTATCCACCTAAATTAGCTATAATTATTCTGCAGTGTCAAAGTGATCTGAATACTATCTCCAAGGAACACATGCTATTGTGGGTTATCAGTATTTATATATTTCAATCATTGTGCATTTTTACTAACTCACTATTTTTCTCTCATTATAAAATTTATACACACTTATTGTAAAAAGTATATAAACCAAAAAGAAATTAAAATTGTCTTTTAATTCTACTGTATCATATTGTATATCCTTTCTATTTTAATTTACGTATATTCATGTTAATTTTTTTTCTTAAAATCAGAATAATCTTTTTACTATTTTTTTGTAGTCTGTCTTTTCCACCTAAAGATAGATTGTGAATTTCCCTGTGATTAGGTCATTTTTTTATCATATAAAGAAAACCTTGAACTTGATAACTTTAAAAAAATATTTTTTAATTGATTTTTTTACAGAGAGGAAGGGAGAGGGATAGAGCCTTAGAAACAATCAGTTGCTTCCTGCACACCCCCTACTAGGGATGTGCCCACAAACCAAGGTACATGCCCTTGACCCTAATTGAACCTGGAACCCTTCCATCCACAAGCCGATGCTCTATCCGCTCTATCCACTGAGCCAAACCGGTTAGGGTGAACTCGGATAACTTTTTAATATTTTCCAGTACTAACTAGTGGCTGTTTTCTGGGAATGAATATATTACTACACAGTGAAATTCTTGGCCAAAGGGTTGTTCTTTTTCTTTAAATGCTTTTGCTACATATTGATTGCCACAGTGCCCTTCAGAAAAGGTATAGTATTCTGTGCTCTCACTAGCAGTATCTGCAAGTCTTTTTCACTTACCCTCAATAACAGTTTTATTAACTAAAGCGTTCTTGCCAGTTTGATGGAAGAAAAGAACATATTAGTGCTGAATTATTTTGAATTGCTTTATCATTGAGACTGAAGAGTTTAACATACATTTATTTATATTAAATATCTCTTCATTTGTGAATTGCCTATTTGTTGTGTGTCCATTTTTCTTTAAAAGATTTGTCTAGTTATTGTGGTTTTGTAACTCTTAATGTACAGGGAAGGGGAAAATTAGATTTACAGTAGTTTATATGGAAAACAATACAATGATTGATATACAACAATATAAGAATAAACAGTTTGTGTCCTCACAACTGTAAACTTACTTATTACCATCCTATATATTTTAATGGTGTTAGTTTATCTGTAATAAATGTTATATTTTGTTATTTTCTTTACTTTTGTTGTCAAATTTTCCCCTCTCTTTTAAAAAATTTTTTGTTATTGTTGGGGGTTTGTTTAGAATGGCTTCACCCACTTTGAGATTAGATAAAATATTTTGTATATTTTCTCTCAGTTTTTTGTATTACTATACAGTTAACTCTTAAATTCCTCTGGAATGTATTTTGATGTATAATTTCATAGAGAGATACAACTTAATCTCCTTTCTCAGTCAGTAAACCAAATATTTCTGTATCATTTATTTAAATAACTCATTACTTCTGACTTGAAATAATATCTTTTACTGCATACTGATTGCATATTTGAAACCATTTCTCAGTTCTTTTGTTCTATTCCCATTGATCTTTCTATTTAAACTTTTGTTAGTATTCTGCTGTATTAATCACTGTAGCTTTATAGTATCTTAAAGTGTGGGCAGTATGACAAGATCAAAGTCAAAATTGTTCTATAAGGTGTTTGCATACTTCTCTAAAATTTATTTTAGATGTATAATTATAAATTGTTCATTGAAATTCCAAAGTGATATTTTTTTTTAAAAATATATATTTTATTGATTTTTTACAGAGAGGAAGAGAGAAGGAGAGAGAGTTAGAAACATCGATGAGAGAGAATCATTGATCAGCTGCCTCTTGCACACCCCCTACTAGGGACCTGTCCGCAACCAAGGTACATGCCCTTGACCGGAATTGAACCCTGGACCTTTCAGTCCACAGGCCGACGCTCTATCCACTGAGCCAAACCGGTTTGGGCCCAAAGTGATATCTTAAAAGATTGTATTTAAATAAAATTATGAGGAAAGCTGACACCTTTATGGTATTGAATCTTTCCATTCAGAATCGTTTACTTAACTCTTTTATGCCCCTCAACAATTTTTAAAAAAATACAGTTTCTGTACATTTCTGCTGATATTTTCTTTATAAAAGTTAATTTTTTTGCTTGTTTGTGAGTGAGATAGTCTTCATTCTGTTTTCTTTTTGTTATTGTATTTAGGGATTTTAGTGAATTTTGCTGGTTCACTTTATAATTTTCTTTTCTTTTTTTTTTTTTTAAGTAAAACTCATTAGCCCTACTAATATTTCAGCTGACGTGCTTTATCTTATATGTTCCCTTTTTTTTCACCCATTCTCTTATTACACTGCCTAGAATGTCAGTATAATACTAAGTAATGCAGGTGATAACAGGCATTTTGTGTAGTTTTTAAATTATGGAATTGCTTTTAATATTTTACCATTAAGTATTATATTGACCATTGATTTAAGATAATCTTTATGATTAAAAATTCTAGTCATAGTTTATTAAGAGTTTCTATGAGAAATTGCATTTTATTTTATGGTTCATCTTGGTTTTTGTTTTTCAAATTTATTGATGAAATAAACCCTGATTAGTCATGGTATAGTCTTGTTTTAATGGACTGCATAATTTTATTTGCTTCTATTAGAGTTATTTTCCATCTGTAATCATAAATGAGATTAGTTTTTGTTTTTCTTTATCGGTACTATCTTTGTTTTTCTTTATCTCTACTAATTTATAGTACCAGTATTCAAGTTGAATTAGAAAGCTTTTCCTTTTTTCTAGACTATGTAAAATGTTGAATAGATAACATGAAAATTACTCATTCCTTGAAATTCTGAAACAATATATCATAAAACATCTGGGCCTAGAATATTCTTTAGGAATTATTTACTTTTGCATTTTTTACTTCTTTTAAAGTCA